TCTGTGATTCTGTGATTCTGTGATTCTAAGAGCACACACAGGATCCCAGAGTGATGCACTTACAGCAGCATTAATTTTCAGACCCTGTTTTTCACAATATTAACTGGGTGACACTGTGAATAGAAAAGGGTCTTGAAAAACCTAGTAATTCTATGAGTGGGGTCTGAAAAGATCTCGCCAGCATTACTCCGTCTATCCTCAGTTGTGCAACTATAAACCCAGGTTGTGCTGTGAGAACATCTAAGGAAGGCTGTTTTCTTATGGATTTATCTTCTATGTGCCATATTCCTACCTAGCCTTCATCCCTTCATATCCCCTACAATCAATCACACAGATAACTGGAATAGCCCTTCCGATAACCCTTCCTCCCACATCTGCCTGCACAGACCCTGTCTTTGTCCCCTCTCTGGCGAGGGGAGCAGCTATGCTCGTCACTGCTCCACAACTTTTGCTGGAGAAGTCGCAACGACTGCTGGGATCAACTAATGCTTCTTCAAGAGACAGTACCTTCACTTGGGTATTTTTCTTCTTCTACCCAGCTTTCAGTTTTCAAAGACTCTCCTAAGACCTTTAGCAGTGCTCAGACAGATAGAAATATGTCTCATTACCTTAAACCAGGCTAAACCGAAAACTTGTTTCTAGACATCTCTGATACCAACCATATCAGAAAGTACCATATTGAAAGCTGTTGAAAATATCAAACTTGTAAACCATATGAAAAATGCATATGCTGTTTAATGTTAAAACATAACCTGTGTTCAAAGAATAGCTTGATGTCATCAGCTGCTTAAGTAATACCGGGATTATCTCATATTTCTATGGTTGAAACCTGTAGGACTATTCGGATAAATACAATAGTATTGGTTCCTTCTAGATGTATTCAAAATGGCAATGCCGTGATCCTTTGACAGGAACACTGAGAAAAACAATGCAGACTTTTTTTATAATTTTATGATGAGCTACATGCTATTTTACAACTTCCTTCAAGTTCTTGCTCCATGTACAAGTTGTCACTCTCATGAAAAATCATCAGTCCTCAGCAAAAAATGTGACATCTGAAAGGCATACACCCAAGAGGAAGGAAAAAGGCTTACATAAATCATGTTTAGCTTTTCACAATATCTAGCACAAGCATAATTTAGAGGGCTGACTCCTGATAATTGATTGCTTGGTGCCAGCAGTACACAAGAAAACCTGATGACCTTAAAGCTGCACATAGCCTCTCTTTTAATGGTTTGAGCTTCACAACCCCCATTCTGATTCAACCATTTTCTCCTTTGCCTGACATTATCCTAAATATAGTGCACTGACAGTAGTACAAACAGCTACTTACAGGAATCATCCAGTTGGCCAGGTCACCGTACTTAGACACCTGCATAGCTCCAAGCATTGTCAAATCAACATGGCCTCTGGCAACAGAAAGTGTGTAGTTAGCATATCATGTTCAAGTAACAGCCCACAAATCTTAACAAGTTTTTGTTCACCTTCTCATTACATCAATATAAAAATGGTGGCATAACACAGAGGTAGCAACCATTTTGTCACATGTGTAGTTGGGTTTTTTTCCCCTCTAGATGGTATCACTGATGCAAATTTTTCTGTCTGCCTACCGAGCCTCAAAAATGTTACTACTTCTGTCTGCTTTTGGTTAATTGCATGCACAGTCAATCAGCTCTGAACTCATACTTCTAAGTGCACTCCTTCACATATTTACATGCACTCATTATCTTTTCAGAGCCATTAGGATTTAGTGTTTGTTTGCATCCAACCTCCTTGCCGAAAACCAAACAAAAAACAGGTGTAGATAGTGAATTTCCATTAGGGAGGTGGAATGTGGCTCACAGTTGCAAGCTGAGCAAAGAGAATATACAGAGTGCAAGTACAGATTAGATACTTGGAAATGACCAAAAAGTAGTTGTTAAAACACAGTTATAAATGTGTTTATATATGGCCAGGTGGTGGTAGACACAAACATCACTACAGTATCTATTAGTTACAGTGTTTTTCTTTTTCCAATGGCTAGATCTAATCCTCTATAAACCATCACTGATTAAGTGCATGATCATTTTACAGGTTGTTCAAATGCTAACCACATTTCAAAGAATTGCTATTGAGTTCAGTCACGGAATCAGTTTGTACTTTTCATGTTTCAAAAGATCAGGGTTTGTGTTGTTACGTACCCTCTTATCATTGCAAATGATTCATCACTAGAGAAATAGGAAGAACCTGGAAGAACAGTAACTGTCTCCTTACCTGTAAAAGAAATAAGCTATAGTATGTTTGTATTTTGTCTCTTTGACAAATGAAGTTGCAGATATTAACCAAGAAATAAGATTTTTTTATCAAATTCCTTTGGATTCTGTACAGCTATGGACCTGATTACACTCACTATGTCACATGTAAACCTAATCAATCATAATGAATTGTGAAGCAGTTTGATACAGTTTTTAATGATAGGGTTGCCCATTCATTGACCACCTTTTTGGGTTTTTTTGGTTCTCCTCCACATCCCACCGTGGGAGCAGGGGGGAGGAGTGATCGAACGGCTGTGTGGTGCTTAGTTTACAGCTGGGGTTAAACCACAACACAATGCTGAGAAGAAAGAGACACAGGCTGAGGACCACAGAATAACATAACGAAAGCACCCTATTACCCACTTCACGAAAAAGCTCTCAGGAAGTCAGTACTTGCAAACACTTCTGCTGTAAGACAGAAGTCTGCCTGTCAACTACAGTGAAGATAAGATAAACTTCATGTGAGACATTAAGAAAATGGGACAAACAAAAAACCCATACATATTTCAGAGAAATACAATTACATTTGCAGATAAAAATTTGGCAAAAGCCCATACCAGGAGTATATTTTGAAAATGTGGGCTTTGGGGGCTGATACTGGACCACTGAAGTAGATGAATGCGAGCAGAATTAAATCCTATTCATTTGCCATTTAGTTTCTGTTTTCTTCACATGGTTTTAAAAATTTGTTTGGAAAGCACCTAGAATGGTCTTAATCCAACTAAGTGTCAGTGGGATTTAGCAGTTTCTGAACGTTTCAGCAATGATAACAATAATAATTTTCGTGGCAGAGTTGAAGTTCACCTATCCTGTGTCCTGTCTACTGCAGCTTCAGAGGAAGATGTGAAAGTGCTTAACACTGAATTACCAATACTAGAATAATCTGATTTCCATGTTGCATTCTGACCTCTTCAATTAGCTTCATCCCTGCAAGATTATCTCTTCAAAAATATTTAACAACCATAAATAACAATTCAAGATCATACTGACATCCATATAAAAGCACAATGATTTTTCAGATCAAGTTCTTGGATTTTTTTTTTTCATCGTCATTCTTTTAACATGTGCATTTGTAATGCAACCATATTAGAACTTAAGTTCTAGCATGCATGCATATAATTTCACCTCTTATACTAAATGTTTTTTATTCTAAATACTTTTTCCCTTCTGGTGACACCTTCAATAATTTGTTAAAAAAATAGAACAACAAAACAACTCAATTTCATTTCAACCATTAACATAGCTCTCATGTGCCTGTGACATTTTCCTTCATCCAGTGTACCACAACAGTTACCTAGCTACTGGTGAAATGCTGGACTCAACTCTTTAATAGTTTCTTATTTCAAATCAGAAGATGGCCTTAAATAACCCCTTATTGAAAACATAATACGGAAACGGGGCAATAACATAGCAGTACGGTAATGGTATCGGTTAGTTAAGCCAGGTAGCAAACATTTCAAGTCAGTGAACAATTGCTGGACTGCACTCTGATATTGAATTAAAAGCTGGTTTGATATCAGTGCTTTATGTCCTTTGTCTTCTCACAGTTTAATTGTACTTGATAACAGTGGCTGAGAAAGGCACTGTCTATATAGATACACATGTACACACACACACACATATGTGTATGTACATACATAAATATAAAATATAAAATGGTTTTCCGTATGAAAAAACAACTCTAAGATGTCAGCTACGGGTCTATAACCTGTATCACTAACATGACTGAGAATTTATAAGATGCCAAGGCCTACTTCTGTTTGCCACAATGCAACATATAGGTGTAATTTTACATGGAAGCAGAGAACAGACATAGGCACAACTTTCCATGAAGAAAACAGAAACCAGGCAGATGCACTAAATTGTAGAAAGCTGAAGTTTTCACATTGCATGGCTGCTTCTGAGGTGAAGTGCCCCAAAACAGCTGGGCGAAAACAGAGTGTGAGGGCTGGCATCCCCCCGCTGAAGTGGCAAAAGCAGCCGCCCGCAGCAGAGCCCTCCAGCGTGCCAGGGCCCGTCTGGGGACCTCTTTCCCCTGCCCTGGCTATCGCTCCTCTCCAAATGCAAGAGCTGCATTCCTGGCAACTCACTAGCCCAGAATAAACCAGGCCGTTACACACAGGACATTTTAAAACATGTCCCAAACATGAATCATTGAAAAGCATTTTCTAGGAGACACAGGGTGAAAAGTAGCAGGGAAACAAATCCATATTCGCATATAGGCTTCACAAAACACTCTCACAAAGATTTGACCCTTTACTGCCTGGCCTGGAGGAGAGTTTCCCTCAGTAGCTACTAAAATGCATCAAAGCATAGGCTCTCTAATCAGAGTATTAAACATCTCCATTGATCAAAAACAACATTCACTTAAAAGAAGACAAATACATTAATACCTATATGTAAATAGAACAGGGATCGTGGTACAAATACTGAATCAAAAGAAAATGTTTAGATTAACAATGAATAATAATTTTCCATAAATTAAATTTATTTAAAAGATTTTACCTGCATTAATCAGGTCTGGATCAACTTCATTTTCAAGTGGATAAGGACCCTGACAACAACACAGACATATGTCAGCTTTATATTAAAATATCTTTGAGATACAATTCATAACTGCTTTATTATTTCCAATGCTCATTACTGAAAAGAGATCATCACAGAAATACTTGCTTTAATCTTTAGCAGAACAACATCCCTGACAATACAAGCCACAATTAACACCAAGTAACATGTCAGCAATGATGGACACATTGTTATTGGCTGTTAGACTTAGTAAATATCCATGAAGCGGGGGTTTTGTTTAATTTATTTTTTGAGGGTTTTTTGTGTTTAACCAAAGTGACAGACATTTTTCAGAAAATGGTATGTAGGTGCAACTTCATAAAGCCATACGACAATGAAAATAATATTAACTTTAAGCTTTGTTTAAAATTACGTTTGGTAAGGCTTACAAGGTCTTGCAAGCTACAGAAAATTCTGACTCCTTCCAGCAGAACATGTACTTAAGAACATAATTAGCAAAGTAGCCCTATAATCCTGAAATAAGCATTTCCTTAAAAACTTCCCTGCACCACAATGAGAATTTTATGGTCATGCAATATAGCATATATTTGAGTAATTGGGAATGGGCAGGGTATAAAATCCAGCCACTGCTGGTAAGTATACTGCAGTAAGTGACCAAGATATATTCTTACCAAACCCAGGACTCCATTTTCACTCTGTAGGTGAACAGTTATGTCTGGACTGATGAAGTTACTGGCCAACAGTGGGATTCCAATACCCAGATTAGCTGAAGAGAATTGGTTAAGGCAGAAGCAGGAACACACTTACTGCAAACTAATAAATTTAAAATTATCATTGTACTATTAGATTAGAACAGTTCTCTGCACAAACACATTCATTTTTAGTTAGCTGCCTCATATTTGTGATGAATTATTTTGCAATTTCTAATTGCATTCTGTCAAATGCTTTACGTGATAAAAATCCCACAGTGAAAGTAAACATCATCTCCAACGTAAGTAACTTTTTCAAGAAATTCTTGCAAAACATTCAACTGCTAACAAACTCTCCAGGTATGCCTGCATAAAATCTCCAGGTACCCCATGTCTTAACATCCCGTCTATTTCAAAAGGATGTTAATAAAATGAGAGAGGCTCTGGGAAAGACAAACAATGAGCATGGGTAATTAACTTGTCTTCAGCAAAACAGCTGCGGTTGTTATTCTAGCGAGTCGTCGCTTTAACCTATAGCACAGCTGAAGGATACCGTACATGCCATCCTCAAACTCTAAAGCCGCCCGTCTGATAATCCTCTCCCTCACATTGTCTCCTTGTTTTTGTTTGGCTTTTGAGTCTTCAGGCTTTCGGATTGATAAGCGCTGCAAAAGAAGGAGTAATCATAAGTAAAGATTAGAATCCAGATGCTTGCTTCTCAAGACACAAAAGCCTGGTTTATGATTGCACTGAGATACCTCGCCTAAGAATAATGTTATTTATCCACCTTCTAAAAAAAATGACCTTTCATTCTACCAGTTCAAGCTTATCTAAGTCGATGGAGTCATTAAATATCCCCAATGATAGCCTTAGAGCAAAATGTTATTTCTTTGTATTGCCAAGGCTGAGAGAGTACGTGACACATAAGACAACTGGTTAAGGCGGCACCAAACATTAGTGCAAATACTAGCAAATCTGAGATTTGTTACCCCAGAGGTACCTAAATAGATTTGTAAAATGTCAGCCTAAAATATCAATACTGCTCTCTTTCTGCATTCATTTAATTCAGTGTTACTATTCTAAATTTATATGCATGAGACAGACAAATGCCAGCCATCTAAAGATACTGGCAGCTAAGCAACTAAGTTTTCAAACATAAATCTGTATAATCTTGCATAAATCTGCCTGAAGTTGTTTCCTGAGATTTTCTGTCCTTAAATTGATGCTTGCTAAATCACATATAGGTGAAAATGCCATGACATTCAAAGGTTTGTAAGACTATTTTTGTAATTTATTGTTTACACAGATCCATGTTATTTGCGCATCTCTCCCATGCATATAAAACTGCACCGGGCAACATCATGTCCTGCACTCCCATATGTCTTCACATCCTCTCCTACTTCAGACCACAAGGAACACATCAGGCAAAATTACCCTCTGTTCATCACCACAAGCAGATGAATTTTTGCAGTGTCTTTCTTCCTGATGTTGGGAGTCACTTTCCTCTTGGGCAGTCAGAAACAGTATCAATCCCCTTGAATTTCCCAGCAACTTTCTTTTTATGCCTTGGCTATTTTCCCTAGAATTGCTTCACTTTACTTCACAGAAAAGTAAGAACAATCACAGAGGGCTTCTCTGTGGCAAAGAGAAGGTTGGATAAAAAGTATGACTTGCACTAGAGGGACCGCATCTGAGCCAAATCAGGCAGAAACTGCTATTTAAAGCCAGTAAGAATTATGACAGACTAGCTTCTCTTTATTCTCTTTATTCCTCATCTCTCCTTTTACCACTTATACTCAACGCTTTCATATGTACAGCCACTTCCTTCATATATAAGCTTTTATGGAAGAGTAAAAAAATCTGCCATTTCCTTCCTATACTTCTATTAATGAGAGGCACCACTGCCAGAATCGCAAACTTGCACAAACAAAATTAATCCCTGTTACAGCTTTGATGTGCAGTTTATAGTAGCTTTTTTTCTTTCTCCCTCTCACTTCCTTTTTTGCTTAAGCATATAGGGAAGGGGCAGTTGACTAGCTAGATATATTCAATTATGCAGCCAAGCCAAAGAAAACCAGGTGTTTGTATAAAAGCCTTTCCTGGACAGAGAGTCACCTGTTCATCCACTGCCAAACTGCAATAAGAACAGCAGTTTAATAAATGCAAAATGGATTTCTGTCATGAAAGGTAAAAGCTTTTCTGTGAGATATTGCAGCCATTCAGAAGAAGAAAACAGGTCATTAATTGCAGTCTAACACAAGATGCCCAGAGAAAAAAAAAAAAAAAAAAAAGAGGTTTGACACATCTGTTTCCAGTCAAATATTCAATAACATGCAATATGCTTTTGCAGAATGAACAGACGGAAGGAAAAAAACACCTTTTGAACCTTAACAATCATAAAGCAGTTTATTCAGAGAAAAGGCCTTGTATGACTTTCTAGGACTTTTGTGACTTGATTTTAATAATAAAAAATAATTATTACAATTCCTTTCTGCACTTTTTTTGTCCCAGGATGTTTTTTAACTTGTGTCATATATCTTCGCCTCCACCAACTCCTCTGATGATGTTTCGAATAATTCCCAACTCCAGAATATGGCAACACAGGAGAAATATAGAATTTTCACTTGCACTTCAAGTGCATTGTCACATCACCAAAATAAATATAGGGACATAGCCTGAGTGAGGCAAAGCAACAGAAACAGAGAAGAACAATTACATAACCATCATTTTCTTGGATGTTTTCAGCGATGGACTACTACTGCTGCAATTTTTAATAGCTATTGACATTTTTTTATTCACACCAGAAATGCCACTGACTAAAAAAATTCCTGATTAAAGAAAAGGAAAGAAAGGTTCCAGGACCTTTGCAATGTAATGTAATTCAATACACAGCACAAAAGGGGCTGAGACTAGCCCTATGTGCCCGTGTCAAAAGCTAGCTCTGCAGTAGAAAATAAAGTATCTAATTGTCAAAGTCAGCTCTTAGTCTAGGTGTTCCCCTTGTTGTGTCTGCAGAACTGAAAGAAGGAATGAGAATGAAGTGGAATTTCTCATCAAATTTTCAACTGCATTAAAGCCATCCAGAACTACAGGCAGTTGCTCTAAATTATTCAGGGACTGAACCAAAGAGGCTGAGGTATAAGAAACAAGTGTCAATTCTCAGGTCCCCACCTAAGTACTAACTACCTAAGTACCTACCTAAGCTCTAGTCCTTAGCAAAACTTGCCAGATCTTTCTCACACTATTTTCTCAGTGCTAAGACTTGGTGGTTGGAGCAAAAACCCTGTAAATTCTAAAATACACCCCAAGCTGAAATATGTTGTGACCAAGAAGCTCAGCTACTTACTTCAATTCTCTTCTCAAACTTCTCTCCTTGTATCAGACGATCAACATAGATTTTAGGTACATGAATGTCTTCCGGGGCAAATGCTCCTATATCAACAATTTCTTCCACCTACAGAGAGAAAAGGGAAAGTGAAAATATTTAGAAAAATGTATTCAATGACAGATTTTATTAGCAATGAAGTTTTAAATATTAAATATACAGTGGATCAAGTCAAGAAAACTAAGGAATGGAATAAAATAGATATACCCTTTAAAAGAGGCTATTTTAGATGCTTATCTTTCCTCTTCTTTCAGAGGATATTTCTACATACAATTTGAAAGTAGTTTGTGTTTTAATAGCCCAATTTGTACGACCACCTTGAAGGTACATACCATGTACAGTTACATCAGAGTTGTTTGTACCTACAAACAATTTCCATCCAAACAGAAGGAAACAATATGCTGGTAACAATATGTCAGAGCACAAAGCAATAGTATGAATTTTAAGGATACAAACACAGAAGCTGGCACAAAGTTTCTCCATAGTATACTCAAAAATAAAATTGAAAACATTTGAACAGTAATAATTGACTCCAAGAAAGATGTGAAGATCTAGAAGTCCCCGCAGTTAGTGAAACAGATTTATCACAAAATGGCACTGATCCATACATAGTACATTTGAAACACCACCCATCTGGAGCACTACAGACAACAGGGTTTTCCTTCCTTCTATGTCTGAGCTCAGGGTGGTCTGGCTGGAGACCTTGCTATGGCCAGACGCCAGCAGCACAGATCCTCAGCCATGTCTGGTGCTGTCCCTGACAAGTCTCAGGTGCAGAGAGCACATCTCACCCTGCGACAAAACACTCTACTGTTAGGGCTGTACCTGCATCCAACCACAGAGAAAATGTATAATGTTAAAGCAACAGGTCAAATCAACAGGCTTTATCACCAGGAACTAGTTAAACTTTTAGGAATATCCGAAGTCTAAAATCCCCCAAACAAGACCCGGGGTATTACATATCAGTAGGGGTACACCACTCAGCAGCCATCACCAGTGAAGCAACATTAAAGGGCTTAAAATCAGTTTGATGTCCTACTGCTACTGCACAATGTGATCAATAATAAAATCTATAGTACATCTGATAGACAATTACCCTCTTACTGTGCCTTGCAGTGTGACAATAAACAAACAAACAAATACACCCTAAAAGCAGCAGAAGGAGAGGAAGAATTAACAAACTAAAGACCACAGGACCAGTTTCAGACGATCCCTAAAAAAAGCCCTGGGTTAACAGGCAGGAACAGACAAGTTGTGAAATCTGTAAGGCAAAAGTGGTAAGGAAGATAACAGCCACAGCAACAGCAACCTCAGTGTTTATGGAGAGCAGAATCACAGAAAGTGCTTATCCACAAGATAAAGAGAGACAATCAAATCAATATTTCTAAAATTCAGACTACTGTATTCACAAAAAAACAGTGCAATCGTATCCATGCCCTGTCTCACTTGATGTTTATTATTTTGTACCTGAAATTTAAAATTAATATGAAAACCAAGACAAACACACAATAAAATGAAAAAATCTTGAAGCACAAAGTTGAATCACACCTGGTGCAGTGAGCACTATCAGGACAGGTTCAAAAGGGAGGAGAAGCAGGAGACAAGACTTTTCAATGAAGCCATACGCAAGCAGATGATCTGCTACCAGCAGATAATCCAAGTACATATTTTCTAACGAAATTTGTCTTCACTTGTGAGGTGGAAAATTAGGCCTGGGGAATACTTATTGCTACTGATGCGAACTTTCTCATGAAAGAACTACATTTATTTGCTGCAGTAGCTTATAAAACCAAATAAGATTATAAAACCAAAATATTTGCTGGCACAGTTCAACCAACTTGAACAGAATTATGCTGTCAGAAAACCTGACACACTATATCTCTCCCCCCATAGAATACACAAAATAAATAATTCATCCAACAATAGATTATTGGATTTTGTTGTTAGTGACCCCATTCTCTTATTTGGTTAGTATTTTGTCTCTTTGGAAACAGCAGTCAGCATGATAGCTCTTCCTCACAAGAACCATCAACATAATCATTTATTATTTCTATATATTATCCTAAAAGAATGTAACACAAACAAACTGTATTTTGTCCTAGGGATTTCAAATGAGCCTAAGGATCCCTGCAGGCTGGAACACCTTTGTGCTCACATGTAGCCCCCCACTATTCTTACTCATGTTTTGCGATTTCCATATTCTACCATTATGTGAAATAGGCATCAAATGTAGTTAAAATTAAGTATGTTAAAATATCTATCTAGCAATGAAATAGAATTTTGAAAAAGGATTAAAAATTTGCATGTAACGTCTGCAAAAATAGATATAATCCAGTTCTGCAAGTGAAATTACTCAGCATGTTTAGATGAAAAAGAAAGAATTCATGTAGGGGAAATACAAATGCCATCTGATTGCTACAACTCTCTCTCCCAAGCTTGCTCACAAGGAACTAGATGATACTCCAGCTGAGACACTGTAGATGGGCTGCCATCAGCCTCCATCGGTATTGCCAGCACTGCTACCACACCTGAAGCTGTGCCAATGAAGGTGAAACCAGGAAGTCTGGTGGCTATGGGAATCAGCAACATAACTTTCTGTGACCACCACAAGACATAACCCTAGCATCTTTCTAGATAGGAATGATAATGCAAAAAAAAAAAAAAAGGTCCATAGCTGAACATATTCACTTATCTTTCAGGTTTCATAGTCCTTTATGAGTCTTCTGTAACACATCCACAGCTTAAGCCTCAATACGGTATGTGGAGAGCATTTAAATTAATAATTAATAGGATGTATGTGAGTTTTCTTCTTGCTCTGATCTCCACCTTCCCTAGCCTTCCGTTCTTTCTTCTCTCTACTTACCTTGCCTCAGGCTTTATTGTGTCATGTACAGAAGAACCCATGTAAACATGAAAAATCATTATATGGCATTGTCTTGCTACTCTGTCTCAGATTCCTCTGATCGCCTGGAAAACTT